CAAATTTTTAAAAAGATATTAGTGATTCACTGAAGCTCCAGGAGGGCTAGAGCATCAGGTGTGTAAGCTCTGTAGTCAGAAAAGAGCCAAGATTATCTAGTGGGATATTCTATTGGCATTTCTCTTACCACATGTCTGGAAGTTTGTACCCCAGATGTGGGCATATGATGCTACTAGGTCTCTGTTCCTGCTGCCTCTGAAATGTGTCTTTCCACCATCCTGGATTCCACATGACACTTCCTTCTTCCCTCTACTTTCTTCTGGATCACAGGCATAGACCACTGGCCACCCCCAGGCTCCTTGCCTCTACCTTGGCTAGAAGGAAGACTGTGAAAGAGATTATCTAGCATCTTCCTTGGGGAGGCAGAATTCTCAAGATGGGAAGCTCCTTAAGTGATACAGAAGCTTTTTAAAAAATTCATTATTATTTTATTTTTTACCATGCTGCATGGCTTGTGGGATCTTTGTTCCCTGACCAGGGATTGAACCTGTGTCCCTGCAGTATAAGTGCTGAGTCTTAACCACTGGACCACCAGGGCAAGGTCCCTTGACAAGGCTTATAAAGATGCTGAGCAGTCAGAGAGCATGACAAATATACAGTAACGGTGCCTTCCTGCTTTAAGATAATATAATTTCCATTACAACGGTGTTTCTCTTATTAAGATAATTGGTGGGGAGGCTTATTTGAATTAATGAAAAGCTGAGTTATACCAGGAGAAGCTGGGGAGATAAAAATGGAAAGAGAAACAGTGTGACGAACCAAGCATTATTCATTCTTTCACTTACTTATTCAACAAAGATCTGTATGTTTAAAAATATCAGTGGACAGTGGGTCGAATGCTAAGTACAGGAGATACAGGGCTGAAGAAGATGATTGAGACCCCAGTTCTTGAGTTCTTTAGGCTACATGGACAGAAAAGCGAGTATAATAGAAGGTGACAAGCAAGTAATCGGATATGAACAGGAACACAGAAAAGACAAACTATTAGAAGAAACCCCGCCTTCCCCCTTTTATTTGCAAAGGGAGCGTTCCTCCTGTCACAAGGAAAATGAGGGACTTTTTATGGTCTTTGGCAACTGCACTCGTCTCCTCCAATTGCCACTCACTTTATAGGGCAATAAATCGATCTTGGCAGAAGCTGACTTCATCAGCCCGATCACCTTTGCTCAGTGCTCCTCAAGAACCACTGAAGGACAGACACAGCACATAAAAAGATACGGCTATGAGGTGAGTGCTTTTCCCTCTGCACATAGTTCTTTGAACCAGCAGTGTGCCTTCCTTCTTGTATTGGCTGGAGAGGAGAGCCGTGTGTGTGCGTGTGTGTGTGTGTGTGTGTGTGTGCGTGTGTGTGTTTGGGGGAGGGTCTTCTGTGAGATGGTCCTCTCTCCTGGGAAGAAATCAAGGAAAGAATAAACAAATGGACTCCTTCTGGTCACTTGCTGAATGTGGTGTGGATTGGGAGAAAGGTGAACTTGTCTCTTTGGGCAGAGAGGGAGATGGTTATCCAATCTTTAAGGGTTTTGGAAAAATAACCAGGATTTTTATTATTCTAAAATGCTGTTTGATACAGAAAAGAAGCTTTGGGCTGGGAGGGTATCTAGGCAGGGAAGAATTACTACCTTCAGGAATCCCCACTCCTACCCTCCGCGTGGATCACAATGGTTCCAATAGCTAGAAAATTCCTGGGGTTGTCCCCAGAGTGTCCTGAACCTCTGGGAATTACAGGTACTGAAACTGCTTCTCCAAAAGGATTAAGGAACTGTGGAAGAGGTGCTTGCTTTTGGTTTGAGGAGACTGGACAGAAAAATCTCCCCGTGGAGAGAATTAGGATTTGGAGGAAGAGGCTAACTGATGAATAGTGTGTTCACTGTGATAGTGAGTCCTGGGCTGAATGGATGAGGAACTAGTCAGGTTATTGTCAACATATGGGCTGGGTCATTCAAATTTCTCTTACTGCCTGAAATTCCACCATCAGAGAGTTAGCTTCTAGAACTCTAAGCTCTTCAGTCTAGGGACACTGTGGAGAGAGTAAGAATGTGCGTGTGCACTCTCAGTTGTGTCTGACTCTTTGCAACCCCATGGACTGCAGCCTGGCAGGCTCCTCTGTCTCTGGAGTTTTCAGTCCAGATTACTGGAGTGGGTTGCCCTTTTCTTCTCGGGGGGATCCTCCCGACCCAGGGATCTAACCCGAGTCTCCTCTGTCTTCTGCATTGGTGGATGGATTCTTTACCACTGAGCTACCTGGGAGGTCTGAGAGTAAAAATATTCAAATTCTAATTTAAGAAGCAGGGCATCTCAGTTTTTACATCAGTTCCACAGCTAATTGTGATTAGACCAAGTTCCTTAACTTTCCCTTATAAATAGGAATCGTGACGCCTGCCTGATCAACCTTGACACAAGAATTTTATGGAAACATAGTCATATGAGATATATCTTACTGGACTGAGAGTAAACTTTTGAATAATTTAGGCCAGTGGAAGACACCTGACAGATTTAGGCAACTAGGAAAGAATGGAGAATAAAGAATTGTTAATAAACTCCAACTTCAATCCCAAACCCCAATCCTCAACTCCACATTGGCAAATTGGCTGTAGATCTTTGCTCCTTACCCCCGTTTCACAATTAAGGTGCTTCTTTTCTTGGCTTATTAAATATTAACCTAAAGGCAGACTCAGATGAAAAGTGAAGCTATACGCATAAGAAAGTGCTTGTAGAAATGGTCATGGCATTGGGCTGGGGTTGAGAAGAGCAGGGGTGTGGGGGAATGGAAAGTTAAAGGATAGACAAAGTGAAAAAAGAGACAATTCTTCATCTATATCAATTTATAGATTGTCACTGCATAAATGTTGGTTTGGTACAGCTGAAACCCAGGAGAAGAGGCTGAGGGACTGGGCATGGGTGGTGTCGTGAAGACCTTTGGTTACACAGCTGACAAATTTTTATTGTTTTCTGGAGAATCCCTGAAGACTTGAATACAAGAGAATAAAACGATTTTGTTCATGCTCTAGAAAGATCAATCCAGCTGCAGTGTGTTCAACAGATTTCAGGAGCAGGGAGGGTGGAAGCAGGGGCTATGGGGAAAGCCGTGGTGATAGTTCAGGCCAGAAGTGATGGTCTGAATAAAGTGTTTCCAGTAGGAATGGAAAGAAAGGAACATCTTTGAAAGATATAGGTAAAGTATTTGACTGAACTTGTAGCTCGTTGTGAGAACTAACAGGAGAGGAGTCAGAAAAGGTTTCCAGGTTTTTGAAGAAATTGTGATTCTGTTCCTTAAGGTATGAACTGTTTGAGAAGGAGCGAATTTGGCAGAATTGGTGAAGCTAGGACTGGACCATGGGGAGAGATGATTTCATGTGTAAAGAAATTGAATTTAAGCTTGTGGGAAATCCAAATGAGACACCTAACAAACAGCTGAATGTATGAAACCAAATCTCTAAGCTAGAAATACAGGTTGGCTTGTCCTCAGATATTATTATACAAAGTCACAGGAGCAATGAAAATCACTAAAGGAGAGTGAGCAGTGGCCCCACGATGAAATACAGGGAATGTTACATTTCACAAAATAGGAGACTACAAAGAAAACTGAAGAGAAGCCAGAAGAGTAGGTAGGAAATTAAGATTGAATGATACCAAATGATCCAAAGCTGAAGAATTTTACAGAGAAGGAAGTGGTTGGTAGGGCTAGGGGATTAAGACAGTGCTCATTGTATTCAGCAGCTAAACCCCTAGTGATTTTGGCAGGAGCAGTTTTAGTGGAATGCGGGAAACAGAATTCAAACCAGTAATATAAGAGGAAGGTAATGCAGAATGCGTGGAATTATCATTTTGGAAATTTCCCAAGAAAGGAAAAAGAAAGCTATAATGGTCTCGAGATGAATACAAAGTCATCAACAGAGTTTCAGGTGAAATTTTTGATCAGCCTAATATTTATGAGGGGAAAGAGCAAATTCATAAGCAGAGGTGGATAATATAAGACAGAAGACACATACTTGGCAGAATAAGAAGTTTGAAAAATTCAAAGGCTCTGAGATCTAGGGAATAGATACTAGGATTATACTAAGACAAGAAGAGGAAAAACTCTTCCATTGCAAAGAGAGAGAAAAGGACCAGAACTTACCCAAATATGGATAATTTTTATAGAAAACCTCGAGTTGAGAAGCAGGGAGATAAAATAGTTGCTGCAAAATAGTTATCCTGTCTGGAATGTTGGAGATAATGTTGGAAATACACATCCAAATAGTTGAAATAGCCATTAGTCAGTATGAAAACCAAGATAAGAATTGAAGTTCTTTGATTCCTAGTTCAGTTCATACCCTCTAAAATACCAAATATTTTAAAAGTTGTATCTATGCCTGATGTTTAGAGCTTGGGTCTAGGCTCAATATTTAGAGCTACTGTGAGCCACCAAATTTACATGGATTTGTGTGCCATGACCATACAAGTAAGCATTGTATTGAAGATCAGAACTAAGTTCATTTTTGTTACCCTATTCTTAAAAGGCTTAGTGAGCTCTAAACAATTAAACACCTCAGCATCACCAGCATAGGAATTGGAATAAGAAGACTAGGATTCAGGTTTTGCTACCTTCCCCCTCCTTGAGTGGAACTTCCTTCCTCTTCCCAGGGAGGGTGTGAAGATCAAAGTGACATCTAGAAGGGCTTTTGGAGCCATCTCAACCCTTTCTCTCTCTCCCATGCTCTGTTCCACTTCTCCTTCCCTCCCTTCAATTCTTTATGTCTGATATATTTTTCCTTAGACAGTAATCAATCCCTTTGCAGACAAAAAGGACAGGAGTCCTACATGTGTTGGATGCACTGATCAGAGTTACTTGGAGACACTGTGATGGCCTGGAACAGATACTCCCTGGATTACATAAAGAAGAATGCTGATAATCATGTCAACTGGCAAGGAGTTGGCAGTCTAATTAGAATGCCTGCCTATTCTTTTGGAATGATGGGTTTTGCAGTTTACTTTAATCCTGTTGCCTGTGTCCATCTAGATGGCGAGGAAGCTTAGTGCATTGGAAATCCTTCTGATCATCTTCATCATAATTGTACTTGCTGTAGATATCCTCTTGCTGATGCTTCTGTTGGAGAACCCTCCAGGTAAGGGAGATGCCTGTGGCTGTTGGATTGGAAGGATTGAGACAGGATGACATTCCTCAGGATGTCAAAGACATCTTTTTATTTCTTCATTCCTCAGCATGCTACCACATTGCATTATTCACAGTCTATAGCCACAATTAATTTAGATAAATTTCCAAATGCTGTGTTCTTGTTCTGCAACTATACCTAAAATTAAATGCTAGTAATATTCAAGGTCTCCCAAGTCCCATTTGATGTAATTTTAGAAAAATGCAAAATGAGACTCACCAGAAGCCTGTCCTTCAACCTAGAGCCATGAATGAAATAAGATATCAATGTATGGCAAAAACCACTACAATATTGTAAAGTAATTAGCCTCCAACTAAAATAAATAAATTTAAAAAGAATAGTCTTCAAGAAGAATAGTTAACAGTGCGTAGTCCATTTACATTATGGAAAAAGAAATTGGGCTACAGTGGAGTTAAGGACTGATTAACTTGGCCTAAATATGTTAGTTACAATTCACCTCCAGCCCATATTCTGATTAAATGCCTAGGATTTCTTCATGGATACCTTTGAAATTCTTCTCTCATAGAAACATCCCACAGAATGCCTTCTTTCCGCTATATGAGCCACCAGGAAGACTTCCCTGCCCACATTATACTCTAAATAATAATATACACAATACAAAAATCATTTCTTAAAATGAATTTGAGGTTTACTCTGCTTGATAAAGCTCACTGTATCAATATAGATTTAGCATGTGGTGGAAAGAACCTGTACCCATAGCATAATCCTACTTACTCATTCTCTTCACCACTCTTCATAGTAAACATTGAGGTATTTTATAGGAACAATTATGATTTTGTGAGACGATATGAAAAAATATACAGGCCTTCTTTCCATAGTGTAGTAGTTATTACATTCACCTTACACGCTAAAGTTCCCCAGATCGAAACTGGGTGGAAACAGACTTTCTTTAGGTTCCCCAGGTGGCACCAATGGTAAAGAATCTGCCTGCCCATGTAGGAGACGTACGAGATGAGGATTCGATCCCGGGGTCGGGAAGATCCTGGGGAGAAGGAAACGGCAAGCCACTCCAGTGTTCTTGTCTGAAAAATCCCATGGCCAGAGGAGCCTGGCAGCCCATAGTGTGTGGGCTCGCAAAGAGTCGGACATGATTGTAGCAATTTAGCACATGAAAACTATAACTCAAAATGGATCAAAGTTCAAAATGTAACAGCCAAAACTATTAAATTCTAAGAAAAACATAGGCATAAATATCAATATTTGTGACCTTGGATTAGGCAATAGTTTCTTAGACATGATACTCCAAAAAGAAGCATAGTAGCCTAAAGAAAAAAAAAAGAGCAAATTGGACTTCAAAATCAAAAAATTTTGTGCTTCAAAGAACACTACCAAGGAAGTGAAATGACAATCCACTAACGGAGGAACGTATTTGCAAATGATGTGCTTGAAAATGGTCTAGCATTCAAAATATGTAAATCTTATGATTCAAAATTAGAAGAAAAATAATCAAATTTCTAAAATGAGTGCAGAATTTAACAGACATTTCTTCATGGAAGGTCTATAAATGGCCAATAAGCCATGAAAATAACAGTCAATATCATCAGTTGTTTGGGAAATTCAAGTCAAATGAAATATCCTTTACACCCACTGAAGTGAAAGTGTCTGACTATTTGTGACCCCATGGACTATACAGTCCATGGAATTCTCCAGGCCAGAATATGGGAGTGGGTTGCCATTCCCTTCTCCAGGGGATCTTCCCAACCCTGGGATTGAACCAGGTCTCCTGCATTGCAGGCAGATTCTTTACCAGCTGAGCCACAAGGGAAGCCCTTTCCCTTGTGGAAGGAAATAGTCAATAAGTTAAAACCCAAATGTACATTAACTGATCAATAGATTTTAAGAAGTGTTATATTCATATCATGGAATATGATTCAGCTACGAAAATGAATAAAGTACTGTTACAAGCTGCAACATGAATTAACTTTGAAAACATTATACCAGGTAGGAGCTAGATGTAAAAGGCCACATATTTTATGATTCTGTTTAAATGAAATGTTCAGAATAGGCAAATCCATAGAGACAGAAAGTAGATTCACATTTACCAGGAACTGGGAGAAGAGAGAAATGGGAAGTGACTACTAATGAGTATGTGGTTTCTTTTGGGGTGATGAAAATGTTCTGGAATTAGATGGTCATGGTGGGACAACTTTGTACAATATTATAAGCCACTGAATTGCATATTTAAACATGTGAATTTTATGGTATGTGAATTATATCTCAAAAAACTCCCAGCAAAACAAAAAGTAAACATGTTGAACCCTTGGAGAAATGTTAAACATTCTATGCAAATGTAGATCCCAGTTACTAGCGACTACTGACTGGAGAATTGACTGAAAGTCTAGGACTGCTTCTTCCCTAGGACTGTGAGTACACTCCACATTTTCAATATCATCCTTTAATTTCTCTGCAGGTGCTTCATTTGTTCCAGAGTGCCCCGAAATCCCCGAATCAGAAAGGATAGAGTGTGCCCCTGGCCAGGAGGTGACAGAGGTCAGAGAAATATGGTTCCTGCTGTGGGCCTGCTGGGTTCTATTGAAAATAGGAGAATGTGCAGTGGGGAGATGGTGATGATAGGTGGATTATGGGCCTCTTGACTTGTTTGGAGAACTTTCTTTCTTGCCTGATGAAATAAACAGCAACACCAAGGAAATCAGGGAAGCAGCCACGGGTAGAAGGAAGAGGAGGAGGAACTAACCAAAGGGTTGGCCCATGGGGTCTGGAGTCCAGAGCAGAGGGAGAGCTCTGAATGTGTCCTACCGTGATTCCAAAGAGAGACATGGAGAGGTTAATGTTTGAGGGCTTGAATTCACATTCCTTGAGAACAGCGGCCATCAAGCACATATAAATGCCTGAGTTGTTGTAGAGCCCAAATGACTTGTTATAACAAGAACCTTCTGAAATCATGTTATTGGCAAGTCATCCCAATGAACTTATGTTAAAAAACATAGATTTTCTACCTGAGTAGTTTCCATAAGAATATCAACAATTGGAAGCCTTCTTAGTTGCAACTTAATGACTTTATCATAAAGGTATGCATATTTAGATTGTATTTCTTTATCTCATATTCTATATTCTACATCCCATTATTAGGACTGCATTAAATTTTAGGTTTAATTTAGGTAACAGTGATATGATTTTAAATCTTCTCATTTTAAAAACATGTTCAATATGACCTCTTTTCAACTCTTTTATGCATATATACATATTTCTCAACTGTCCTCATGTATATTTCCTTACAGATGTATTATGAAATATTTTTCCTAGATGTTGTATAGACAAAGTTTCTGCTCTAAATATAGTTTATTATCTTTGCTAACTGGTGCTTCTTTTATTCAGTTCAGTTCAGTTCAGTTGCTCAGTCGTGTCCGACTCTTTACAATCCCATGAACCACAGCACGCCAGGTCTCCCTGTCCATCACCAACTCCCGGAGTCCACCCAAACCCATGTCCATCGAGTCGGTGATGCCATCCAGTCATCTCATCCTCTGTCGTCCCCTTCTCCTCCTGCCCTCAATCTTTCCCAGCATCAGGGTCTTTTCAAATGGGTCAGCTCTTCGCGTCAGGTGGCCAAATTATCGGAGTTTCAGCTTCAGCATCAGTCCTTCCAATGAACACCCAGGACTGATCTCCTTTAGGATGGACTGGTTGGATCTCCTTGCAGCCCAAGGGGCTCTCAAGAGTCTTCTCCAACACCACAGTTCAAAAGCATCAATTCTTTGGTGCTCAGCCTTCTTTATAGTCCAACTCTCACATCCATACATGACTACTGGAAAAACCATAGCCTTGACTAGATGGACCTTTGTTGGCAAAGTAAAGTCTCTGCTTTTTAATATGCTGTCTAGGTTGGTCATAGCTTTCCTTCCAAGGAGTAAATGTCTTTTAATTTCACGGCTGCAATCACCATCTGCAGTGATTTTAGAGCCCAGAAAAATGAAGTCTGACACTGTTTCCACTGTTTCCCCATCTTTTTGCCATGAAGTGATGGGACCAGATGCCATGATCTTAGTTTTCTGAATGTTGAGCTTTAAGCCAACTTTTTCACTCTCCTCTTTCACTTTCATCAACAGGCTCTTTAGTTCTTCTTTACTTTCTGCCATAAGGGTGGTGTCATCTGCATATCTGAGGTTATTGATGTTTCTCCCGGCAATCTTGATTCCAGCTTGTGCTTCCTCCAGCCCAGCGTTTCTCATGATGTACTCTGCATATAAGTTAAATAAACAGGGTGGCAATATATAGCCTCGATGTACTCCTTTCCCAATTTGGAACCAGTCTGTTGTTCCAGTTCTAACTGTTGCTTCCTGACCTGCATACAGGTTTCTCAAGAGGTAGGTCAGGTGGCCTGGTATTCCCATCTCTTTCAGAATTTTCCACAGTTTATTGTGATCCACACAGTCAAAGGCTTTGGCATAGTCAATAAAGCAGAAATAGATGTTTTTCTGGAACTCTCTTGCTTTTTCGATGATCCAGAGGATGCTGGCAACTTGATCTCTGGTTCCTTTGCCTTTTCTAAAACCAGCTTGAACATCGAAAGTTCACGGTTCACGTATTGCTGAAGCCTGGCTTGGAGAAATTTAAGCGTTACTTTACTAGCATGTGAGAAAAGACTATTTTATATTTACTGAATATTATATGTGTATTAAATATTTTATTTTAAATTTTATTATATATTATATTGATAAAATATATATTATGCTATAACATATTATATTAATTATACAATTTGATCAATTTAAATTTCTCATTGTTTCTAAAGTGGTTTATATAGCTCATTTTATTGTTATTGAGTATATACTTATATGGCCTTCCCTGGTGACTTAGATGTAAAGAATCTGCCTGCCAGTGCTGGAGACCTGGATTCAATCCCTGAGTAGGGGAGATACCCTGGAGAAGATATGGCTACCCACTCCAGTATTCTTTCCTGGATAATCCCATGGATAGAGGAGCCTGGCAGGCTACAGTCCATGGGGTCACGAAGAGTCAGACACAACTGAGAGACTAACACAGCAACCCATATAGTTATACCCAAGGCAAATAATTATACATAATGAAAAAAAATCCAGTTCATAGGATTTTTATCTTTATTATCTTCCATGATATCACAAAAATGTTTTCTCAAAGTATTTGTACCAATTTACATTCCCTCATGAGTTCATTTGCTCTATATCCTAACCTACTCTTCGTATGTTTTTCTTTTTCAATATAACTATTCTGTGGCTTTAATTTGTGTTCCTCATGGCAACCCACTCCAGTACTCTTGCCTGTAAAATTCCATAGATGGGGGAGCCTGGTAGGGTGCCATCCATGGTGTCACAAAGGGTCAGACACGATGGAGCGACTTCACTTTCTTTCTTTCTATAGTTCCTTTTGGAGAAGGAAATGGCAACCCACTCCAGCGTTCTTGCCTAAAGAGAATCCCATGGACAGAGGGGCTTGGTGGGCTACAGTCTATGGGGTTGCAAAGAGTCAGACACGACTAAGCAACTAACACACACATACATGACTAATGAAGTTAGACACTTTCACACCCTGATTGGCTAGATGGATAATCATATTTGTGAAGGGTCTTTTCCATTTCCTTTTTTGTCTAGTTTTTTCTATCGGGCTAGTCATATTTTTCTTATCGCTCTGCAGTATTTACATATTCTGGATGCAAATCTTTTGTCATATAAATTTTAAGTATTTCCTCACACTGTGGTTTGACTTTTAACACTCTTCATGGTGACTTTTGATGAAAAAGTTTTTAATTTTAACAAACCTACTTTATCAGTTTTATACAGTTAGTGTATTTTGTATTCTATTTAGAAATTCTTGCTTACTCCAAGGTTAAAAAAAACTGTATTTCTATTATTTTTCCTCTAAGGGCATTGTTGTTTTTATCTTCCACACTGAGATCTTAAAATAAGTCTAGAGTTGACTTTTGTGTATGGTGTCAGGTAGGAGTCCAGAACATTTTTTTCTTGAATTTCTAATAGACCCATCACTGCTTACTAAAATTACCATCTTTCACCCTCTGCATTGTAGTGCCACCTTTACTATAAATCATATATGCTTGTTTATGTTGATCTATTTCTAGAGTCTCTATTTTGTTCCATTGTTAGTTTGTCTGCTCTTTTGCTAATTTCATATTACCTTCATTTCTGTTAGTCAGTTGTGTCCGATTCTTTGTGACTCCATGGACTGTAGCCCTCCAAGCTCCTTGTCCATGGGATTCTCCAGGCAAGAATACTGAAGTGGGTTGCCATTCCCTTCTCCAGGTGATCTTCCCGACCCAGGGATCAAACCCAGGTCTCCTGCATTGCAGGCAGATTCTTTACCTTCCAAGACACCAGGGAAGCTCTTTATTATAGCTTTATAGTATATCTTGGGGCTTCCCTGCTGGCTCAAATGGTAAAGAATTTGTCTGCAATGTGGGATCCGCAGAGATGCAGCTCTATCTTGGGTCAGGAAGATCCCTTGGAGAAGGAAATGGCTACCCACTCCAGTTTTCTTGCCTGCCTGAAAAACCCCATGGACAGAGGAACTTGGTGAGCTATAGTCCATGGAGTCACAAAAGAGTCAGACCAGACTAAGCGACTAAACAACAACAACATAGTAATTCTTGACAAGTAGTTGAGAAAGTTCTCCAAATTATTCTTATTTTTCTTTAAGATTTCCCAGCTTATTTTTGACCCTTTAGATTTCTGAATAAATTTTAGAATCAGTCTGTCAGCTTCTTCTCAAAACCCACCAGAAATTTGATTCTGATCACATAAAATTCACAGATTAATTTTGGGAGAATTTACATCTTTATAAGAGTGAATATTCTAATCCATGAATGCGATATATTCCTCTACTTATTAAGATTTTAGTTTTGAGATTTTTGGTACAGAGGACTTGAAAGTTTTTTCCAAAATTTTTCTAAGTACTTTATGTTTGATTTTATTTAATATTATTTTTAATTTTCCATTTAGCTATTGTTAGCATATAGATTTAAGTTGATTTTTTAAATATTTGCTGATCTTGAAATGGAAATCACACTAAATTAACTTATTGATTCTCCTAGTTTGTCTATGGACTCTTGCATTTTACTTTTACAACAGTGTCACCTGCAAATAATGACCATTTAAGATTTTCTCAAATGTACATTTTTCTCCTTGTAACACTAAGGATACTTTTTCATTCTAATTTTTCTATATACTTTGGGATATGCAGCTATAGTAAGTTTTAGAAAATGGAGACTTATTTCAAAGAATATAAGTAATAACATTTCAGTAAACATTAAAATTTAAATTTCAGTAAACATTAAAAATAAAGTATAAAATGGTAAAAGTAAAAGTAAAATGTTAAATCTAAAGAGGAAGCTCTGCTTTTGAAGGAAGTTGGCTACATTCAGAGAATTAAAGCATCTATCAGAGACTCTACTGAAAAAAAATCCTTGCCTCAAATGGAAGTTGAATAAGATAATTTCCAAGCCAATTTCCAGTTCTCAAGTTCTATTAGTCAGTAATTTC